CCCACCAAAACGTTATCAGCTTGTCCTTGGGTTCCCACAGCAGGGTTATTATCATGGCTAGCTGAGCTTACATTCCAACCCCCTCTGCTGCACCTGATTTCTAAAGTAAGAAAAAGCATGTTAAAGGAATAGAGAAAATGGCTGCATTTTCATCAGTTGTCAGAGGGGGAACATCCAGTGTTAGCAGCGTTGACAGCCAGCATACCTAATGATAAATTACCATATATAAACAGAGGATTGAAAACCTGAATAAATAGCTAAGGAATGTTTGGGTTCCCATTGTAAACAAACAATAATTGTGTTATATAATCATATAACTCTTAAATTTATATAATTTTATTTTTTATAGCTGTACCCGGCCACGCATTGCTGTGGCTCAGTCTGGTTAAATGGAAAAGAAAGAAAAGAGAAAGTGCACGTTTGTAATATGTTTAATTTCACAATGCTTGTGGGTATGCTTTTACATCCAACAGATGGTGCTGTTTTTTAAAAAAAGCATGTTTTACCTGTCACAGGTGTGACATCTACTGTATATAATAGTAGTATATAAAAACACGTGCGTATTCGAATGCAACGTATCAAAATTTCAAAGCAATCGGTGAAGAACTTTCGGAGATTTAAGATTTTGAACAAACGAACATTTACATTTTTATTTATATAGATGGAAATATGAAATCAGCCAAGCCACACATAAGTTGATTTATACATTAGAATGAAAACCTTGATCAGAAACATGACTTGATTTCTTCTAAACATACAGTATGTCTTATAGCAAACAATGCAGATTTATGGAACACTTAATTTTCATATTGATTTTGTTTTATCAGTCATTTGAAATCATTTTTAAAAGGGATGAATTAAGTGCAATTTTGACAACAGCTTCATTGAAGATCTTCATTCAACCAATTAAGCAACTCAGTGAACCCCCAAATTAAAACATTGAACTTTTCAACTAGACCTAATAAAGCTTGAAGTAGAGATGTGTTGAATTCAGTACCAGGCCAGGGGATTGATATGGCCAGGGAAAGAGGGCAGTGAATTATTTAGGGAGGAGGTGTCAGTTGTTAGAAAATATAAATCATGAGCATGAAACATATGTTTGTACAAGAAAGGGCAGAGAGGCTTTCAGGATTCTGTTTTTCCACCCTAGAGTCTAGATAGAAGGGTTAAATATGGAAAGTCATGTGAGTTGAGTTATATTAATGAGATACGATCAGACAAAAGATGAATGACATTGGGAAAATAAATTAACTTCATTATTTGTTTCTGGGTAGAATTGCAAAGACTTTGGATCTTTAATTGGTTAACTCTGTTGCAAAACAACAAAACCTTGGGGTTTTTTTTTTCCTGCAGGCAGAAAATAATATTATATTAGGTTGCTAGACTGATGCTGATCCTATACGTTCTTACACAAGTTAGTGAAGTGATGGTTTCGAATAATGTAGGTTGTTTTCTTATATGGGGTTAGAAAACCTGATGCCATATTTTAAATTACCATTATGACAATGGCCAATTTGGCCAGTGATGAAGCATGATCACTGTTGGAGTTCAAAAGATCTGAAAAGCATCAGACTGTGTCCCCCTATTCCAGACTATAAAAATAATGGAAATTTTCCAATATTTTAGTGATTACAGTATTTCTAAAACATGGCAAAGGAAAGTTAGAATACAGCATTTAATTTGATAAAATTAGAAAAAAGAAGATGACTCAACTAATTTAGGTGGGAATCTTATTTATATTTGCCTAAGAATAACTCTCATCGAATGCAGTGGGACCTGTTTCTAAGTAGACATGTGTTTGCTAAGCATTTAGTTTTTGTATTATATATTTTTATGCATTAATTAGTAGACTGGTTAAATATTCCTGTAAATCATGTTCTAATTGTTGTTTGATAGAGATAATAAATTATAATGCAATTATCCTAGCACAAGATCTTTCTAAAAAAAACTAAAGAGTTTTTTTTTAAAAAAGAAAGAAAAGGAAAGAAAACAACTGACCAGCTAAAAAAGGTCCTCCTATAGTGACTAGGAGATTTGAAGAAAACATGTTACTGTCTTCATTATAATACCATGGCTGTATGTTGTCTTGATTTAGGTTCAGCTGCTGCTACCCAATGAAAATTGTTGGGTTCCCTAGCATTGGCTTGAACCTGCTACATATGATTTCTGCCCCGTATTCCCTTTACTATGTGCATTTTTATGCAAATACCAAAACAGATTACTGATGTACAAATACTAAGGAGATGGGAATGTATCTCTTGGGACTAATTGTATATGTTCAATGTTAGCAAAGATTCCACTAATTTATGAGAGTACTCCATTGGACTGCTGGAAAATGACTGCAGTTTGATCCTGTGTCTTGGTTTCACTCTGCTATATGTAGCCTGTCATGGCCACAGCCTAGACCAAGGACTGTCCTTCATTCAAGAGAAAATATTTCAGCATGACAGCAGCTAACATGATGGTATTGTTTAATGTTTTCCTGTAAAACAAGCATCACACACAAAGGCTACTGCAATCAACAGTTCTGTAAATAACCAAAGAAGCAGCAGCAGATGGTAAGGAACTGCCATCTTGACTGCACTTGTAGGAGTTTATGATTGTGGTATCCTTGTCAGAGGTGCTTGTTTGAAGTGTGAGCAGCTCATTTCCATTTGGATTGATCATTAAAAGAATCTTAAAATGCTAAGAATTTGTGCCTGAATTTGCTTGAGTTTCTTTTCCCTTTCCTATAAGATTTTCTTTATAGATTGTAAAATGGGATTGTCTTGTTTTTATTAGTTTGTAAAATCATGCTGGCAGTATTTTTGGCTTGAACATTTAGAAAAAAAGTTCTTTAAGGGGCAGCAGTCAGGCTAAATGAATTTTTGTACTAATAAACATGTTAACAACTACAAATATCTTTACAATGAGTTGTAAAGAGTTAATTGTTAAAATTGGCCTTTATCTCTTTGCTTGTGTTAACATTGGCCATTTCATTGAAGATGAGAATGCATGTTTTCCCAAAAAACCTGAATTAATCAAAGCACAGCAAATATTTTTATTATGGCTACTTGCATAATCAGCCAGATGTTTAGACTGGATTTGGCATTTTTATGTATGTATCAAGATCTTCCCAAGGAACTGGAATAAGCAGATGTGGTTGTTCAATGGTGTTAAAGGCACCATCGCAGGATGTAAGCAGGTTCAAGTAAAGCTGTCTTTTGCAATTAACTGATGGTGATTCTGCCAATATTGAGGGTGTTCAAGTGATGCTTCAGATGTTTGGGGATTACATCCAAGGCACTATAGTACTACAAAGTAAAATCCAGAACAGTGTTAGGTTATTTGCTGATCCTATTTATAATTTCTCAGTTCCTTTCCCTCATGAGAATTTTAAGTACTTAGAACAGTTACAGTAATACAACATTTACTAGTTCCATCTTGATGGGTTTTCATATCAACTCCTAAGCCACAAAAAAAGTAAAGAGGGTTTTTTTTTCAGTTACAATCACCATTTTTAAATTAAAACAAGCACTAATTACAATTAGAATAAATAGAGTGAAAATATTCCTGATATTTCAAATGCCCTTTCAAGTCTCTGTCTCTCTCTTGACACACAACCCCATCAACCAGTTCCTTGTCCCCCTGGACATTGAAAAGTTAAAGTTAGGATCCCCCTTGGAAAGTGAACTGGTTTCTGTATAAGGATGAAATACTTGACTTATTTTAAGAGATGAATTTCTAGAAACTACAGCATTGTGTTCGTATATATAACATGTATTTCAATTTATCTCTAAAATTCCTGGAGGAAGTATTTCTCTCTCGCCCAGTGTCTAAACTCTACAAATGATAGGGAATTCCATCCTTTACTATTCCATCCATTCACGCTTTAGCTAAAAAATAGCCCTCTTGCCTTCTTCCTGTCTTTCAGACAAATTCAGAAGGCTTCTGGAAGCCCCATCAGTGGCCTTCTGGATTTTATATTGGATAAATGGGACAAACTTTGGGCAAAAGAATTAATGGACACAAGTTAGACAGCAGAGTTCAAAGCTAGGATAAAATAATACAAGAGCAGTTCGACCTCCCAGGATACTGTTTTGCATATCTCATTTTGGGAAAAAGAAAGCATCTGATACAACTGATTGCTGAAATTTGCAATTAAGAAAAATCTCCAAAGATCTCAACAAACACAATAAGATATTAACTTATTGCAATTGTTAATAAGATATTGTAATCTACCTTGCATATAATTATCCGCAGAACTAACTTCTCTTTCTCCCCACCTCTGGCCTCATCCCAATTTCAATCCTATGTTAGTTTAGCTACTCCATGCATCTGATGAAATGAACTGTAACTTGTGAAAGATTATGCCTTTTAGTAAAAATGTGTTAGTCAGATGTGCTCCCAGTTTTATGAATTTTGGCTGACATAAACTAACTTATCTCTCTTCCTGTCTAACGAAACTGTTGAAAAGTGCTTCCTGGTTAGCAAAAAAAGATTATCTGATAGTAAAAATATTTTATCATAGATTAGTCAACTATATTATAAAATCTGTGACCCTGTTGTACCTGCTGTTCGTGATAATTTTGCCTCTTGATATTGCTTTGAAACAAAGCGTTCTGCAGTACCTTCAAATTCTAGGAAGGGCTTCTTTTTAAGTTTTAAAAAAGTTCCTCTGAATAGTATTCTCTTTCTTGACTGGCAAAACAATGTAAAAAAGACAAAGAAAGAAACAGTTCCCTCAAATATGTAGAGTTACAGGAAGTCACTGGATATTTCTCTTTGTTCTATTCATGAATGCTGTTAAAAATACTGTAAGTAGAAAGCGAAGATGGAGGGAAAAAAGCAGGAAATAGACTCTTGGGATAAAGTTTCAGCACTGATGGGTTGAGACCTGTCCTTCTACCAAGGAAAAGTATATTTTGATTTTCAAAAGAGAAGCTACTTTCTTCTCAAAATTGGTTTGCATTTGGCCACCAGAATATTGAAGCTGAGACTCTTGGTGTTTTTCAGGAGATGTTGCTATGAGGAAAGACATCAGAGATGACTGATGTTGAGCCTGTAGTCACAGATTTTGCTGCATCAGGACGGGCAGGACGCCGAAATGCCTTACCAGACATTCTGGGTTCTTCTGCGGGAACTGGAACATCCGAACTGCCACACAAATTAGCAGGACTCTCGATGTCAGAAGGTAATCAAAAGCTACACGTCTATGGAGATTCTCAGTAAATCAGGTCATGGCTGTCCCAAAGGTGCTTTTTTAGGAAGCAACTGGACTTTCTTGTTTTTCTTTGAAGACATTTTGCTTCTCATCCAAGAAGCTTCTTCAGCTCTGACTGGATGGTGGGGAATGGAAGGATTTATATTCCTTGCAGATGGAATGACCAGCTGTCTGCAAGGAATATAAATCCTTCCATTCCCCACCATCCAGTCAGAGCTGAAGATGCTTCTTGGATGAGAAGTGAAACATCTTTAAAGAAAAACCAGAAAGTCCAGTTGCCTCCTGAAAAAGCACTTTTGAGACAATCAAAGGCTACCTTTCTCTGTTGAATAACTTTAAGAAATGTTCTTCCTTAAGTTATCACATTACTAAGTAATTTTCTAAGGATATTTCCAACTTCATAGGCCAAGAAGCTGCTCTTGTTTGTAATTTCACCACAATAACAGGTAGCACATCACTTTACAGCTGTTACATAATATATATCTGCCATTTTTTTTTCATGAGCTGCACATGTTCTTTAAATTTGGTGTAAAACTCTGGGCATCTAATATTACAGTGAGCAAATATTGTGAAAAGTTCTTCCAAACTCCAGATGCTTTGATTCTTTCTTTGTAAAGCTAATATTTTTTCTCATGTTCACATCTCTTTAATTAAAGGAGCAGAAGGAGGAGAAGCTTCATCTTCTGATGCCATTATGAAAAACCAAGAGATGGAAGAAAAAACAATGAATTCCTAATGTTTATAAAATGCTTGGTTTTGGTGATTACCCAACGAACTTCATTGGTAAAATGTCCAAGATTCTGAAATATATAATGTTTGTAGCTGGCTAATATGAATATGGCACTATTGAAAAATTAGTTATTTTTTCAAATTCATCAAGAAGTAATTTATTTATTTACAAATCATAGCCAGTATCTGCAGAAATAAAAATGAGAATTGTTTTCAGTTATTGAACAAATGAAGTCCAATGTAATCAGCTGATTGTTGCAAAGAACCAAATACAAAAACAAACATCATTAATAACTTGGGGTCTTTTCTGATAATAAATATAAAATGTAGATATTAGATTTGGTGTGAGCTTAGTATATATGTGTACATACCATGTGCGCGCACACATACACACATTTTATACATAGAATAGCACACAAAAACACATCTCAAAATCAGTAATTCGAGGCCCAGAATATAACAACTTTATGTATGTAAGATTCACCATACAAAAGTCAGTGAATTTAGATGAGTACAATTCTGAATAAACTATACAACAAATGTTTTAAAAATGTAGGACGTTGCTAAATAGTGGGAGAATTTGTTAGTGCTCTTTGTAGTTAAGGAACTCATGAAAAATGTCCTAACTTCAACAATGTAGTAAAAAGAGCATCTAGTTCTAAACTATAACAGATAAATAATGGACATTGCTGTTTTGTATCAGAAGATAGGCATCCTTATTTATCAAACAATCATATACCATATAAGGAGTCACATATAATTCCACATAGGAACAGATAGTGGATACTGAAGATGTAAGTAGAGGAATATGGGACATTTTTGAAATAGGACAAACCTCCTGCTAACCACCACCCCCCAAAAAAATCCATCTCAGTTCCCATTGTAACATCTGCTCTAATTTTGCACAGTAATCTGGAAAGCCTCTGCTCTGCAGACTTTAAAGTAACATTTCTCTGTCACCCTGGATACCAAAGTTTAATTTTCCCAGAAGCCAAGACCCAGACTATTTTTGACACAGCACGAAGCTTGATTTTTTTTTTAAAGAAAAAGAAAATGCATCTGGAGATTAGCCCCACAAAACCTTTTTCAAATCTGAACTCGACTGAGAAATGTACAGAAGTTCAAGACATACAAAAATGCCTTTTTTTTTTTTGCTCCTTCAAAATGTCAAGATGAACCAAGATCAACTAAGATTTTGAAGTTCTTTTGAGTGCATTTGATATTTTGCTTTCTCAAAACTGGCTTTTCTATAAACTCAAAATTCTGTTTATTAGTTTTTAAAACAAATCCCTGACATCTGCAATTGTTTTTAAATTTCATTTCAACATGAGGAATGAAATAGATTATCCTTACATTAGAATAATGTGTTCTATCAGTCATACCTTCACAAGATCTAAGAACATAAAAGTTTTTGCTTCAGTTAGGGTGTCGGCTTATTGGCTTATAACTGATTCGGTTAATGATTATTAAAGCATTTTCTTCCTGATATATTTTATCTATTCCAAAGGATTGATCCATATTTTTTAATAAAGATTGTATTGTTTAAAATATAGTATGTGTATATTATTTGCACAAGAATTCCATGACCCAATTGTATAGGTTTTTACTCTAGGAAAAATCAAATAAGCCCAGATTAGAGCATAATCACTGAGGTTGAACCGGGGACAGAATCATTATTTTAAAATGAATTTCAATTTCTCATGCTTGATGTAAATTTTGATTATATTCATGTGCATTCTCTTTCAATAGAATTAGTTTGGACCCCAAACAATATATTTTGGCTTGAAGTACATTAATAACTATTGGCTACCTTGCCTCAGAGAACCACAATTGTAACTTATGGGCATATGACTCTTTGTACCAAATGTACTCACTACTAATACTAGTATTAGTATTAAGATTTGTCTTTGTTGACTAAGACAGTGTGCCTTGTGCTATTCTGATACCTTTCTAAGATCTCTGCACAAAACGCCACATTTCTTCCAAAGGAATGAATCTTCTACATTTTATCTCCCAAATACCAGCTATTTTTTTCTATTTATTTTCTAAAAATGTTAATATTATTGGATACCAAATTAATCATGGAACATTTTGAGTCCTGTTAACTTTCAGATTTCAAGCTGAATCTAAGCATAAGGCACAACAAAACAATGATATGGTTGAACATTTTCTCTGTAATCAATAGGTGGCACTCTGCACCCATTTGAATTAAATGGCAACTATGCTATTGTATAATAGCACAGATACATTTCATCAGTAATGATTGTGACTCACGCTAGCTAGTTTTCATGGAACTAAATGTTGAATATACACAAACCTGTCAAAGTACTGCTGCATTCCTTCTGAACAGTACTTCCCACCACAGGACTTATTGTATTGTAATAAATGTATAGTAGCAAAATTCATGTAGATTCCTGAGTTCTCTCCAGCGGTTTTTCCCATGCCAGTAACTCTCAAATGTATCAGGATCACAATTACTAGCCAGCTAATACATACATTTATTTATTGTCATTGTATGTGCGTACATAGTATACATATACAATGAAATTTACTTGACACCCAAAAACCAAGTCCCACACACATAATCCCCAAACACACTCCCCCCCCCACAATCCCCACCCCTAAAACCACCCAACATCCACACAACAGACCAAGTAATGCTGTCCAACAGTTCACTGATGGTGGCCCCTTAGTTCATTGTTGAGTGCAATTACAGCTCTGGGATAAAAACTATTCAGAAAACGTGTGGTCCGAGTTTTAATTATTCTGTATCTTCTGCCAGAAGGCAACAGTCCAAAAAGATTGTAAGCAGGATGGGAAGAGTCTCTGAGAATGTTATGCAACTTCCTCAAACAACGAGATTCGAAGATGTTATCCAGGGCTGGTAGTTGAAGTCCAATAATATTCTGGGCAGTTTTAATAATCCTCTGTAGAGCTTTTTTGTCCGCTACAGAGCTGCTCCCATACCATGCTGTGAAATTTTCAGCTTTTAACAAATACGAAATACAAATATTCTAAAGAAAGGTAAGAAAGAGCATGTTCTGAGACTGTTGAAAGAGAAAAAAAATGTGCAGGCATTCGTAGGAACTTGGCTTAGGCTGTAATGAGCATCAGTATCTGTGGAATTGTTGAGCAAAACACAAAGTCAAGGTTAAGCAAATAAGTCTGTGTGTTGTACATGCCACCAACATTTTCAACATGAGCACGCTAGATAGTTGTGTCTGGATTTTAGGGAAAGGATCCATGAAAGAAAGCAAATTAAGATTTATTAAATCTAGTAATGCAATTGTGTATCAGTTTAGTGCCAAGGACAGATTAAAAAATGATTTTGTGTCACATGCCCAAATATTTTGGATTTGTTGCAGCAGATCTTAATGGGCTTCTACTAATAAGAGGTCAGCCACCATTCCACAGGAAGAATGCCAATTGCAAGTGAGTGTGTCAAATAATGGATTCTGCCTTCCAAGATGAGAGTCCTGGCCCAAATCTCTAAAAAGAGAACTCGATCAATCTACTGCCCCTAAGCATTACAGGTAGTCCTTGACTTGCAATCGTTCATTCAGTGACTGTTCCAAGTTACAACAGCACTGAAAAAAGTGACTTATGACCGGTTTTCACACTTGTGACTATTGCAGCATCCCCATGGTCATGTGGTCAAAATGCAGATGCATGGCACTAGTTCATGTTTATGACAGTTGCAGTGTTCTGGAGTCATGTGATCACCTTTTATGACCTGGCAAGCAAAATCAATGGGGAAGCCAGATTCACTTAATAACCATGTTACTAACTTAACAATGGCAGTGATTCACTTAACAACTATGACAAGAAAGGTTGTAAAATGAGACAAAATTCACATAACTGTCTCATTTAGCAACAGAAACTTTGGGCTCAATTGTGGTCATAAGCTGAAGACTACCTGTATTTACTACTTTGGCATTTTTGGTTTACTTAGTCAACAGTAAACTTAGGTTTACTGGGCCAACTTAGGCCAAAAATGATAGAGTCTCTTACAAGCTGATTTTATCTACTTAAAAAAAAAAGATGGACACATACAATGTTCTCTTCGATGTATACTTTTTGTTTCCAAGAAATGCATATAATTGTATGAATTGATGCACAGAAGCATATTTATCTATAAACTTAAAGCCAGATTAAAAAAAATACTTCTGCTTGTAGAAGGATAGCTTATATTAGTAGCTATTCAGCCAAACGAGTATCTTAGTTTCATCAAATTAGTTTCATAAAGTTGTATACTAGCCTGAGAAGATTTCCCATTGTATTCTAGTCTTACAATTTTTTTTATCCTTGCATTTTTTCTTTGGGCTGCCGTGATTTCCCTTTTCTACCAAAAAGGTCCTCTACGTTTCTGAAAAACCCTGATATAATTCTGCTATGCTCTAGAAGCCAATAATGTAGTCTAGGTCAACTCTCAAGAAAAGAAGGAAATAACTTGGTTGGCAGCTAGACTGAAGAAGCAAAAAATTGAAGCTGAAATTGCTTCTGAATAGAAATATTTATAGACTTAAAGTTATATTGTATTATGTAATAATTATAGTAAATAATTACATAAAAAATAAGGTGATGTTAGATGACCACAGAGTTCAACATCACTTCATTATTTTGATATATGTTTACTTATAAAGGAGAATATGGGTTTGAAATGAGGGGTCCTTGGTGCTCTCTGAGCTTGCTTGTTTTCTTGCAGACATTTCGTTACCCAAACTAAGCAACATCATCAGGGTTACTAGTTTGGGTAATGAAACGTTTGCAAGAAAGCAACCAAGCTCAGAGAGCACCAAGGACTCCTCATATGTTTACTTCTTCCATAGTTACAATCTTGTAACTGTTAAATTTATAAGTATGCGTATTTATAAGTATGCATATAGGTTAAAATGTGCTCCCTAAGGTAACATTGTAATGCCAGAGTACATATTATAACACAGAAGGGGCAGAAGGGAGACAGGCATTTGAGGAAGGTCAAAAAACCGACTAGAGAATCCTTTTTATTAATAACGGAGTACTTGGTAAAATACATACATACAGTACTTACATATAGTATTCCTTTCTACTCAACCATCACTAGCATGCCTTTATTGTGCTTTCATGGACAGATTCAGCTGTTTTCCACAGAGGATTTCTCCTTGTATCACTGATTGAAAAATTAAAATTGTTTTCTCGTCAGTTTTATTAGTTTTATCTTTCCTGGATAAAGCCCATGTTAATATTCTCTGAAATATTCCTGTACTTTGGACACATTTCTTTACAAGAGGGAACAGGCTAAATAGACATGCATACAGGTAGTCCTCAACTTACGATCACAATTGAGCCCAAAATTTCTGTTGCTAAGTGAAACATTGTGAATCACTGCAGTTTTAAGCTAGTAACACAGTTGTTAAGTGAATCTGGCTTCCCCATTGACTTTGCTTGTCAGAAGGTTGCAAAAGGGGATCACATGACCCCAAGACACTACAACGGTCATAAATATGAGTCAATTGCCAAGTGCCTGAATTTTGATCATGTGACCATGGGGATGCTGCAATGGTTGTAAGTGTGAAAAACAGTCACTTTTCTCATGCTGTTGTAACTAAATGTTGTAAGTCGAGGATACTCCTTTTGATAATCAGCTCATCCACATATTCTGCTTTTTGGGGAAAATTGTTTGTAGAGGACGAGTACATAAGGCACTGCTTCTTCCTCATTGCCAACCCACTGCTGAGACAACTTGAAGTTAGAAAATTCCCCTAACTGGCACTGGCATAGCAGGTCTGCTTTGGAGCCATATTCTCCAACACCCCCCCCCCTCAAATATTATCCCATCAGTACCTATTGGGCCGCAAAAGAAACCAGAACTTTGGTTTTCACAGCTATGTAATTCGATGCATTTTAAAAATAACGTTGAGCCACAAAGGGGCACTGTCTTAGAAAACAAAACTGTCAGCCCCATTCAACAGACCAGACCAAGAAATTAATCTCACAGGGAGACTAAAACTATTTTTTTTATTGAGATTGGCTATAGTAACAAAATTTTGCAAGTCTGATTATGCTGTACCTCCTCCTCTTTAAAGTTCAGTGAAATATTGGTTTGAGTTCCTTCTGAATTTTATCAGTCCCTCGTGGACTTAAAATAGTTTTTACCACTCAATGCCTTGGCAATGGCATTTGTATATCTCCATGAATGTCATCTTCCATACTCTGTACAAAATCCCCTCTTGAACTCTAGAACCTCAGCATTTATCAAGGATTTGCTCCTGGTCAGCCCAAAACGTGACAACAACTAGATGACAACCAAGAGAGACATAAACTCTAACCGGCCTAGCAGTTCTGCTGTGGAAACATCTGATTCAGTCACTGAACAATTCACTTGCTCTGAAAACTTTCTTTGGTTATAAGACAGAAGCATGATTTATGTTAACATAATTTTTTCCTGGCTCACTGATTATAGAAAAGAAAAAAAAAAGACGGCTGTGTAGATGAGCCCAAGGATAGACGTATCACAATTACTCAGGAAGAGTATAAATAGGCTTCCTA